TTACATTCACAAAATCTGGACGGACACACACACACACACACACACACCCCACGTTAAATTTTCAAACTGGCTTTATTGGTTCTACAAATCCAAGCAGGTGGCTAGAACCACCCTTTCAGGGCAGTCTCAAGAAAAGTTGGCTGCAAAAAGCAAGGATGCCACCCTAATCCTTGGCCAGAAAGCGTCCCTCGTGTAAGGTGAAACATACTGGTTTGCTCTAGCCATCCACACGAGCTTCATTTTAACTTACTGAATTCCTCAAGAAACGCTTGGTTTTCTGCCTCTGTGTTCCATGGGCCCCCTGACTGACAGGGGTAAGACTGATTCACAGCAGGGTGTCTCTCACTTGGATAGCTCCAGTGTTTTTAGGCGCATGTGCTGCCCAGTGAAGCCATTTTTAAGTGTAGTGTAATTTTACCTACAAAAATCCTCATGTGTGCTAATTGACCACTTGGTTTTCCTGTAGTTTACTACCGATGAGGCAGAGTAATCGCCTCTTTCCTTGTGAGGTAGGCTTTTCCTAGTTGTTTACTCTAGTTATTTTACTTTTCAATCCATCTTTTTAAAAAATTAAGTAACAGTCACGGCAGCACAGCTCCAGATGATGTGCCACCAATTTGTAAAGCGATGCGATACACCTTTTTTGGTTCTATATTCAATATTCAATGTTGAAGCCACATTCGTAGGTAAGAGCTACTGTAACTTACACAAACGTCTGCATCCTCACAAAAGAACTGCAATACTGCCCTGGTGAAACCAATTAACTGGTTAATTTTTAAAAGCTTCATGCGGAAAAATACATCTGACTTTACAAAGGCAGCAAAGCGTCAAACGCCTAAATTAAAACTGCAGTTATTTCTATGTCATATCCCAGCATACATTTGGCTTTGTAACACTACCAATTTTTTTCTCTAAAAACACAATCACCCTTTTAGAGGTAACCTGTCAAAAGTGTTAAGATTCTCTGATTTCCCAGCTCCAACCCACACTGAGACATGTCACACAGCTAAACTGCACATTCGCTGCTTTTCTACATTTTTCAAATAAACTTAAGGAAATGAAGAAGTGCACAAATTCAAATTTTACTCTACCATCCAAGCTACCGGGGATCATCCCGAAGCTAATAAACAAAGGCTGTAGAGGCACCAGGGCCCTACCAGGAAGTAATCAAAGCGCGGAGTCTGGTGCGGTCCTAAGTCGCTTAGAGCAGACAATGAGAGGGCACTAAGCGCTTCCTAGGGGGCCGGTGGGAATAGTTACAACGCTTGGGCTCTCCCAAAGCATCCCCTAGACCTAATAACTGTTTTACAGTGCACTAACTCGGGAACTCCAACGCAATTCCAAGCACCCTAAAAGACTGTCCTGAAACAATCTTTGAAATGCAAACTCGCGCGGCCCCTCCAAAGCAGCTGTTGGCTGGATCTCCCGAGTGCGGAGCCCGCAGTTGGTTTGCGTGCGAACTTCATCCTCCCGGGCTGGGGAAAGACTCCGGCCTCGGCCGCCTGGGCCCGCGGGGAAGGGACACAAGCGCTGCGGAGGCAGGCGGCGGCCCAGACAAAGCTGCGCCCGGAGAGCAGCGCTTTTCCGTCCGGTCTGCGGAGGAAGGCGGCCCGGGCCCGGCCGCACGTGCAGCC